CTTAGGTCAGTGTTTTTTGATGGGTTTAGTTATTTGGGATTTATTTACATGTAATTGTTCATAACAAAAGGATACAAATTTGATTTTTTTGAGTTTGAATGCAGAAGTTTGTGCCTAAGTGCTGCTTTATTTTTTAAATTGATATTTGGGTTCTTGAGCTCAGGGTCCCTGTCTTTGACTTTATTCTGCCTTCTCACAAGAAAGAGCCTAACCATGAATATCTAGCAGGTGATCGGAAAGCAAGTTTTACAGTCATTTGGAGATGGATGTCAGGGAGGACAAGGTTTGACCTTCCTTTTGTGACTCATTTCAGAGCGCTCTTGTCTCTTGCTCTGCTCATTAGGAAGCATTTTGTCTTTGAGGTTTCATGCTGGAGAAGGGGGAGAGGGTCAGATTCCAGAACAATATTGCGCTATTTATTTTTGCTGTTTGCTAAATGACATTATAGGTAACAAGGGGGAAAAATAAGTGAAGCTAAAAGCATGAGTTATCACTTCTACGACCCATTGTAGGCACTCTACAAAATGCATGGTTGATGTCTTTTAAACAAGTAAGCCATTAAGTGTGCCCTGCTAAGAGGAATTTTATCTCATCTATAAATACAAGTAAACCTAAGCTCCAGATCCCCACATGCAAACAATTTACTGTAGTAATCAAGGCCATATACATAAATTCACCTTGGTACCATATGTAACTCTCTTGGTGTTTTAATAATAATGAATAAAAATCTATTTTGGCAACAAAAGTGTTACTTAAAGTGTAATCACCTTAAAAAGCCAATAATAATTTCCCTGAAGCCATGTAAATATTATATTGAGGCAGAAATCTTTTTTGTGCCTCTAACTTTTAATGTGAAAGAGGATTCTTACTATTTAACTGTCCATATATATTTAAAAGGACAAATTATCACTACTTCTTTGTCTTAAAAATGTGAAAACAAGTATTTGAGTATGTGTGCAAATCTCCATAAGCAAACTATAAGTTTCTTTTTTCTCTTTTTGCCTTTTTCCTTTTGTGATTCCTTTTTCATGTGTTTACATTTGAGGAAAAAGGGATAGTAGAAAGTGTGGAAATAACAAAAGGAAGAAGATTTAAAAACTGCTTGAAATAGACAGACCATTTGTCCATTTCTTTCCTCTTAACCAGGATTGAGAGAGATGGAGCGAGCAGGAGTCACCCGGTGGAAGGTCACTAGGCAGGATGTCAGCCTTCTACAATGGTGACAGACAACTGGCTCTCTCTAGTCCCCACTAGAAAGTCAACTCAATATTTTGATTCAAGTTTGTTCTGTTATGGGGAGTCCTATCACCTCTCTAAGGCTTGATCCCATTATTGTAAAGCAAAAGGCTTGAATTGCACAGTTTCAGAAGTTCATTTTGGTTCTGATGCTTCTTATTCTCTGTAAAGTTATTTGCAAACACACCTGGAGTTATGTAAGCTTTTACGAACTAGAGACACAGAACTCACAAACATGGATTTTTATCAGCATGGGGATAAATTGTGGACGCAGCAGCTCTACTATGAAAGGACAGTGTATTTATGGAAAGAGAGCAAAGAATCATAAATCAGATTTAAATAAACAATTTCATTTTTGAAATAGCCTTGTGACTTCATCTGAGTTTTGAGAGAGAAAGGTTTCCAAAAGGAAGGTTTCAGGAGCTCCTTTGAAGAGTATTTTACAATGCCAATGTATTCATGACGTTTGATTCTTACTTGGAAGCAATTCTGGAGAAAGTCAGTATGATCTGTTGCAGGTGGTCCCTGCAGGTGATGGAAATGGATATTAAAGAAAACTGCTATTTCACTTCTCTCAGTATTTTTCCCTTACCTTAAAAAGTCTTCAGTTGGATCTCAAGTTTCTTCTCTTATTCTTCATTAACCACTGATGAAGGTGCAAGGGGCATATGTACATGCATGCATACATACATACGCACACACACACACACACACACACACACACACACACACACACACACACACTTCTGAGGAGACTCCTGGTACCCTAATGTGGTGCCCACACATCATCAGGAAGCCAAATGCAAGGGGATCCTGGAATCAAGCAACAATGGGGTTTGTCTGTAAGGACCTCACAGGACAGGTGGACCAGGTAGTGTTTCCTTTCCTTGCCTCCCAGTCATGTGCTCCTGAGGTCCACAGTCCCCGAAATACACTGTCCTCAAACCCCAAAGCCTGTCAGAGGTGCATGGCCTGCACATGTGCACTGTGAGGAACTGATCTTAGAGCTGCACTGTAAGCTCAGTGGCCATTTGCCAGTGGTCTTGTTCATTTAGATATTTCCATCTTCATATTTCTTTCTAGTCTCTGAAGTTTTTGAGGTCTGAGGCTCTGTCTTAGTCACATCTACACCTAATGCCTCTCCAAGCACAAACACAGAACATTACTTTATAAATGTCTAGGCCAGATTACTTTTAAATGATTAGATAATGTATTTCTTCTATTTCATAAGCATTTTAAGAATTTATGGATTTGAACCCAAAGACTACTTTAATAAGAGAAGAATTTACTTGCAGGGTTGTTTCCTGAGTAATGTGTATTATGAGTGGACTTGAAATTTCTATGTGTGTGCAGTCAATTCTGCTACAGTAAAACAGAGACATTTGTAAAAATAACTGGTTAAATATATAATAAGAATTGCATTCAAGTGAGGATTCATGGAGAAATACACCTAAGGGGACACACACACACAAATATCATTACAAATAGCAATATTCTAAGAACTTGATAAAAATAACTTCACTGTACACATGTTAAACATTTAAGAAGCGCATGAGTAGTATAATAAATGTAGTTCTTTGCCTTGAGATTGCAGTGTGGTGGATTTCGGTACTGGGAAGGCTGTACTGTGATGGTAAGGAGAGCAGTTTTGAAATGGGAAGACAGGACCACAGATGTGGAGGAGCAAGGCTCATGACTCAGCTTTGAATGGAGACATCGAGTGGATAATTGTTGACCGTGTGTGTGCGTGCGTGTATTCACACTGAATATTCCTATAGTTTTTACTTTCCCACACTCATGCTTCTTGATGATAAAGGAGTCATAGGAAAATGCAAGATCTGCATCATGTTCAAGTTAATTCCTAATTCATAAATACAGTACCAAATGTGTGTTTTCAAACAAGTATAAAGTATGTGTTTGCCGCTTCCTTCAGCTGCATTCTTTGACAAGAGTACAAATGACCTCTTTGCTTTCTATTAGCAGATTAGCTGTAACCACCAAGGGGTCTTTTCTGTGAGTTTTGTATTATTCCTCTTCAGAGAAGAGGAGGCTCTGTTTGTCAAATACCTCAAAACACTTTCCAAACATTTCTGTTTGAGAGAAACTCAAAATACACTCTTGCAGTTGATTTTCTAACACATTTATCAAACAAGAATTTAATCCTTTCATTTCTAATTAATTTACCTGTAATTAGATGAAATACTGCTCAGAACTCCGTAGATAAACATACATGATCTTACGTAAATATTCTTTTATAAGAAGTCAAAGTAATTACTCTTGAGAGCCTTTACTACCATGAAATTTACCTTGAAATTGAATAGCACCTTTCAAAATTGTTTTGACTAAAGTATATCAAAATTTTATGAGGTCATTTGTCAATGTCTTGCAGGGTCAATGTTATACAAAATGGAAAAATAGGAAAAGAATTTGAGTGCTATGGAGTTGATGAACTGATCGATTCATTAATCCTTTCTTCGCTTCCTTCACTCTCCTTCACCACCTCATCCTTTCACCAACCCTTATTCAAGAAGTATAATGCCCATAGTGTTTGCTAGGGGACCACAAAAATATATTTCTTGGTGAGAGGAGAGATGCAAACAAAACATGTAAGTGAATTAGTACACAAGATTATGGTGACAAAATGTCTTAATCCACTTTGTAATGCTATAACAGAATACCTGAGACTAGATTATAATGAACAGACATTTATTGGCCTACATTTCTGAAGAATAGAAAGTTCAATATCCATGCACCAGCACCTAGGAAATGTACATTTATGGTGCTACAACATGGCGAAAAGCAAGAAGGTGAGACCACACTACTGAAAGCCCTTTTATTAAGTGCTAAGTCAGCTATGATTGTGGAGCTCTCATGGATTCATCTACTCTGAAAAGCCCACCTCTTATTACTGTTACAGTGGAGTTAAATCTTTAACATGAGTTTTGGAGGGTGTGAACATTTCAGTTAAAGTATTAGTATGTGAGAGCGAAGGGCAGTGCTCTCTGCAAGAACTGATTAGTCATGACATTAGCGCCAACCTGGAGAGACATAGCTATGCTGTCAAGACCACCCCTTTGCCTATGGTCTGCCCTGTCTCACACTAGCAAAAAAGCTTAGAAAGCATAATTAGCACATTTAAGACAGCTAGAGATTTAAATACTGAGGTTATTATCATATTCAAGATTCTACAAAATCTGTAACTATTATCTATTTTTTCATGCTCTATAAATGAGTTGTTAGAATACGTAACTTACTTTCCAGTGATTTTCACAAAATGAAGAGTACATGATTCAAAATTATCCTATTTTACTACATACAATCATTACAGGGATCCTTTGGACAGAAGGTGGGAGAAAGTTAAACAATGCTCTTGTCTTCAGTGGTGTCCTTTGCTCTAGAATTAGCACAGTAACAGTGACTTAAATCTTTGTATAAATTGTCCTTTAAAGGAGTCATTGTAGATGGGGATTTGTGTTGGACAAACCTGAGTGAGAATTTTGCCTATGCTACTTTCCATCTTTGCAGCCTTGGACACCTGCCTCAGCACCTCTAGGCATCACTCTCTCTCATTGTGAAAGGAACTTATTCTTACCCATGGGGGTTGTTATGAAAAGTAGATGCAGGAATTTAAGAAAACAATAGTACCAAGTACTTAGAGAAAGCACTTTGCAAAGGATAGCAGATAATGTCACACTGTCCCTCTTCATGGAAAGGCTTTGCTGACAGATTTTGCTCTGTCTCTTTCTGTCTTCTCAATGTTGTAGACACCTGCGATGACCCACTAGCATCTCTGCTGTCTCCAATGGCATTCTCCAGCTCATCAGACCCCACTGGCACTCCCAGCCCAGCTCAGCTCAACTGGAAAGTTGGTGAGTAGAGTGATCCTCCAGCCAAGCGCTGAATCAGGACACTGAATCCTCAGGAAAAGTGATCACTTCCTTCCGCTGGCATCACATCCAAAGGCAGCGTTCAGAAAAAGATGTGGGAGAAAATGGGTTAAACTTGATTGTAACCGCACATCTAAACACATAGTGGTTACTCACATATCTGATTAATGCCCATCTAACTATAGAATTCATTTTGATTTAACAAAAGAGGCCTTTGTAAAAAAATTCTTTTTAATGTGCTTTCACTGTAGTTTCACATTTCATGTGAACTGAAATAGTATCAGAAAGATACGATTTATTTACAAAGGATGTAATGCATTAAAATTCTTCAAAAACATTAAAGTAACTACAACATTAATATTACGGTGTTTTAAGAAACAAGAGCATACATTTAATTAAAAGCAAGATTATAAATCATCTACAGTCTTACCAACTACATATAACTGAATTTAAATGCATAGTACCTTTACAACATATGATAAGAATCCAGGTATGCACTCCTGAGTAATAAGAAGAAAGCCTTAGAAACAAGGCAAAGGGCATTCAAATGCTGGCTGCAACACTTGCAGATTCCGTGAGTTTCTATAAATCACTTACCTGTTCCTAATCTTTGTTTTTTTTTGTTTTTTTTTTTTTTTTTTTTTTTTTGTTTGTTTTTTATCAGTGAAGTAGCACAATTGCTTGCCCAATTGCTTCCAAAGTTAGACTGGACTCTTATGTCCCAAAGATCTTTCCCACTGCAAGATTTAAAATTGGGAGTATATCCAAAAAGCCCACTTTCCATTTCAGGAGGGAACAAATATCAAGAGACTTTGACACCATGTCCAATAGAGATTCCAGGGACAAGCTCTTAAAATCCCAGCCAAATGAAGCAAGGCAGAAAGCCATACTTTCTTAGTCACTGCTAGGCAGTTTCTGGAGAAAGCTGTGCCTCTGCTCTCAGGCCAGCTTCTTCCTTCCTGCACAGGGGCTCACTAAAGTAGGTGTTTCATTTCCACCTTTCCTGCTGCCTGAGCCTGTTCAGTCTGCCCCAAAGCTAATGTGAGTACAGATGGGGAGGAGACCCGCTTCTCTTGTAAGCAGAGTCTAGATCAGCACCGTGGTGTAGTAGGATGGCAGAGCTGTAGAGCCTACAGCTCGTCCTCTGGCACAACACCCTAGGCGTTGGTGCCACCCCAGTCATTCGTCCTGTCCTCAAAGGAAAGCAGGCCCAGGCTCTGGAGTTCTCATTCCAGGGATGCACACTTGAATGATCTGGAGAGTTTGATGGACAGGCACATGACTCAAACCCTCTCCCACATGTTCTCAAATAACTGTGTTGGATGAACAAGGAGATGGGTCAAGACAATGAGTAAAAGCTTTGTAGGTGATCAAAAATGCAAAAAGAGTTGCAAACCACAAAGCCAGATGAAGTACTGAGTAACAAATCCTTCCATGACTATTCATTGAGACTTGCTGGAACCCTGACATGTAGCTGGCAAGAATAGGTGTGTTTTCCATGAAGCATTCAGAGGAGTGGTGCAGATTGTGATGTCATTCTGAGTAGTGATTCTAATTCATAACTAGCATTGTTTATGAGTGTTAATATTGATATAATTACTATTTTGTATGAGAGTTATGTACATATGCATGTGTAAAAAAATAAAACATACCTGTATTTTACACTATATAAAAGCTTGTATATAAAGAGATGTTTACATACAAATATTGAATATATGTATTGACTGAGAGTCATATTAGAGGATGGATATATATGAGGATGGATCTCTCCACAAGTGTATACACATGAATAGGAATATCTCAGTTCACTAAAGTTTCTGCTTGCAAACTAATATTTTTGGCAACTTTTGCTCCCATTTGCAAACTCAGCAACAGCTGCAAACATGACCGCTGCACCTTCTTAATACAAACAAAACTACAGCCATCTTCCCCAAAGTATGCAAAACAAATTACACTCATAAACTGAGGCACTACTGCGTACAATATACAAATGCACATAATATATACAATTTTCCATTAAGTAGGCTTTTGTTCCAGGACTCTCTTGGATAACTAAATTCATGGATGCACAAGTCCCTCCTATAAATAGTACAGAGCTTCATATAAACTACATACAACTTCTCATATATTTTAAACCATTTCTAGGTTAATTATACCATCTAATACACTGTAAGTGGCATCTAAATATGTAGCTGATATATCATTTAGGGAAAAATAGATGACAAGGGAAAAAGTCCCTATATGTTCACTGCAAAAGCAATGTTTTCAAATACTTTTCATCTTCCTTTGGTTTAACCTACAGATGTAGTATCCAAAAATACAAAAGCTCTACTGTATATGTATATATGAATGGTTAAAGTAGCCTATACATGTATGTAAAGCATGTGAGATACATATGCTTATAAAGCATATATACCAATAGTACAGATATTATCATAAAACATAAAAATAATTATATTCATGTTGAGGATAAGTTTGTCATTTGTCTGAAGAAACAAATATAAAGTTTACTAATTTAAAGAGGAAAATATAGCTTTAATTGATATTGGAATTATGAGTTAAAATCTATGCTTATTTTTGTCCTTCTCAAACCAAAACTATATCTTGCCTTCTCAGTGTCATGAACTAGAATTGACTGCCTCCCTGAGTGCTCATTTTGCATGTGGATTCTTTAAGTCCTCCCTTGTATTTTATGAACAACATCAAATGTACCCTAAAGAGCAAATTGTATCCCATTGTGTGAAATCTAGTATAGGTGGAGATATCTGTGGCGATATGAGAGCTTTTCCCTAAAGGTAGGGATCCACACTCATACTCTTATGCTACTAGCATGAAACCAAAAGTTAAGCCAACCACACCTAGGAACTCACCATAAACCATCATTGCTCCAAGCCCGCAGGTCCATCTGTGTCACCTTTACAACTCCCTTTCCTGTAGATAGTATTGTTAGCCTTTTTTTCTTTTTTTTTTTTATTTAAAGAGAAAGAAACAAAAAAATACATGGAGAAAAAAAAAGGGTATAAATAATACAGAATTACAGAAAAATAAGTGGTAAGAAATCACCAGTTGATAAGTTATATATTATCATCTTGAAATAGTTGTTGAGGTTACAAAATTAAAGTATGTAAAGTGACATTCAAATAGTGACACTGCCAACAGTTCTGCTCAATGATCTAACAAAAACTTAGTAATATGGTTATCAGTCCTACACACTTGTTTTTTATCTTAAAGAGAGTAAGATTAAACATATCAAAACAGAATAAAACAGTTAAAAAAGAAACAATTTAAAGAAATACAGATTTCAAAGCAAGTCCACTGGAGATCTTCACTGTTTGTCTAATTGTCTCTAGTTTCTTCCAAATAGTTGTCCCCATCTTCACACACATTAAATATATACTGCATACTATAGAACTGATCAAATCATTACAGGATGATGAAGGCTTTTTAGGTTTTCAAGATCTAACATTGGGCAAGACAATAATAACTAACATAGTGTCTCTCATTCTCTTTGTAGTAGCTGTCCTTATGCTGAAATTGAACTTAAGAGACTAGACTAATACCATTTTGAACAGTGAAAAATAGTATTGCTATATTTTATATCATAATGCTACAGAATTAGCATTGGGTTTCTTAGTGTCTTTTCTTCTTCAGCGTATCTGTTCATTACATCTTGCATTATATAATCTGTTCCTATAAATAGTTTTTAAAAAATCTTCCCATGTGTGAATTTCTACATGTATATCTATCCTCTCTGTATTATAGGGAAAAACAAATCATAACAAGACAGCAAAACACATTCCTACAAAAACATGCAATGAAAAAGACACATAAGACCACAATATTAGGTGATCTACCATAGTTACTATGCTTTCTTTCTGATGATGTGGACAAGTTATTTTTAATAGACTTGTCTACCTCATCAGGCTTAATATAGCTAAGCATAGTATTACATAGTTATTTTTATAAAAACACAACTTTGAAAACATTGTAGGACTTGAGAGCTGTTAATAATCAAAACCAGTATGGATATCTTTTACATCTTGTCATCTTCAGAGTAATTGACTTTACTTTTAGGGTTGATACTATCACACATATCAAATTCAAAGAAAATCAGCCAAGGCAAAACTGTAGTTTAACGAATCAGATTCAAAAAAGATCAGTCATAGTAAGACAATGTAAGTAATACAGGGTTTCAATTTAAGTTAGTAGGAAATTAAGGATAGTTACCAATGGTATAACCTGTTATTTTTGGGTCAGATGTTTATGCCCTCAAATCTGATGTCAGTGGAGAGACCAGAACAAAATAAATTCAAACTAAACAGAATGATAAGACTACTGTGACTTTTAAGTCCTGATACACTATTAACAATGACCTCTGTCTTTTTTTATAGTGTATCTAAGCTATCTATACTAAAAGATTATAGCTTATTGTCTCTGCCTCATGTCTGCTACTCCACTTTACTGCTATAATTTGTCCACCTTACTCCCTCATGCCGCTGTCTGCCCTGTTCATTGAGGCCTCTCTGCTACTGTTGCTAGAATCCTGGTATCCCTTCCTCTCTCTCTCTCTGGAATGTCCTTTAGCACTCTGTGTAGCACTGGGTTGGTAGCCATGAACTCCCACAGTTTTCCTTGTCTTGGAAACATCTTATTTCTCCATTAATTTTGAGAGCGAGTTTTTCTGGGTATATCAGTCTTGGTTGCAAATTATTTTCTTTCAGGGCTTGGAATGTTTCCCCCCAGGCCCTTCTTTTTTGAGATTTTGTGTTGATAAGTCTGTTGTTATTTTGATAATTTTCCCATTGTAGGTTATATGCTTCTTTTCCCTGGCTGCTGTTAGTATTCTGTTCTTTTGGTGGATTTTCTTGATTACTATATGTCTGGGTGTAGATCTGTTTTGGTTGTAGGTAGCTGGATTTCTTTATGCCTAATTTATCTGGATATCATTTCTTTTTCCTATGCTTAGGAAGTTTTCCATTAAT